TTATGGGGGAAGTACAATGTAATCAAGCTCACACAACTTATTAAAACATCCATATCTGAAAACTAACACTACAAAATTAGATAGCATATCTAAAACTAACACTACTTTGCACTGCAAAGCTAAGTATTTTGCTTTCAAACCTTTAACCGAAAAGAAAGAGCTGTGAGACAAGTAATTAAGTGCTGCAAGAAAACCCAAATCCATTGTCAGTAACCAATAGCTGTTTAAAAATAATTTGAAGTCAACCATACTGTAGCAACGCAAATGTTACTTCTGTTTTCTTTATTGTCCTTTTCTTCTCCTTAATGTACACAGATCAATGAAAGTTGGCAACATCCCCCAAAAAACAAAAGTACAAAGCATATCTTTTGCAAAATATATACAAAGTTCCAATTTACAATTTTTGCTTTCCTTTCAAAACCAATGCCGTACCGCTTAGCAGCAGATATATAAAAAGAATTTCGTATACTACACTCCTAGGGTGTCACTTCACATGGTCAGTGTCTGAAAAAGCTAGGATTTACAAATATTTACAGCTCTACAGCTGCAATACTGAATCACAGGGATGTCCTACTCTTAAGCCCTGAAGAATCTAAACATTAGCGTTTAAAAACACAGGAGTCTAAACAAATTGGAAAATCACCCCCTCTAGTTTAAAATTTTTAAAGGCACCTTTGTGAAACTTTGTGATAATCATAACATGTCCACTGTTCAAGCAACAGTGCCCACAGCCTTAATTTAATAAAATGTCTTTATACCGTTACACAATGATACACCTGTATGTTCTGTGGCTTGTTCAATATAGTAGGTAAAATACTAGGTGTTCAACTTAAAGAATATGACAAGCTGCTATTCTGAAAAAGTGGCATAAGATGTTCGGGTACTAGGTCTGAGGATTACGTCCAGTGGTGTTAATTCTCTATTAGTAATTAAATTACCAAGAATGCATTAAAATTACAAGGCTTGGTAAGCAAAGGAACAATCCCATATGTAGAAACTGTAAGCGTATTAACACAAAGCCTAACTGCTCCTTGACTCATCTTTTTATTTGAACTAATGCAAGGCTTGAGAACCTGAAAGCATTCTTACAGCAACTACCATTTCTTAAACTTAAATAAATTACACATTTCTCACAGACCCATTTCTTACATTTTGCTATAATAGTAGCTGCTGGTAAAAAGAGGTAGAAAAAATAAAATGGAAGAAAGCTTGGGATACTTCAGGAAATAAAATATTTTGCTAACATTCTGCAACATTAACACCCCACAATGTTTGCTTTTTCCTTAAGATACAGCACAATAAAACTTCTAACTTTTTATTTCTCTAAAGCTAATTCTTCCTTATTCAGAATTCAGGTCATTATGAAATGAGATGCCATTAAATAAATGCATCATAGACTTGGAAAGAAGAATGATTAGTGAACACAAGGCAATTTAAAAGTAGCTGACCAAGTGACATTCAAAAGAGGCAACTCGTTCCTAGGATCTGTCTTCAAAGTCTTAAAATTTGACTTTTCATATGTTAAATCTGATTTCCCAGCTATACTTAAAATGTTTCATTTGCTCTAGCACATTTTAAATAGATTTACAAATACTGTAGCTTAAACCAAAGTGTACAGAAACAGAAGAATGTTCCATTATAGTAAATTCTGTGATTTAACCTACTAGTTATGAAGAACACAAATTAATCAGTTACTTGTAAACAGTCTAGATTAAAGCCAATAGGAAGATCAAATACACAGTGAAACAGTGACTTTTGCAACAATGATGCAATACCTCAAACTCAGTACTGAAACTCTCAAAAACACTTCTGCTTTTATTGTTTGTAATTTCAGAAAAAAAA